GATGTCATGAAAAAGTGTTTTAAACAAAAGTGAATTTTCAGCTGCAGCTTTTAAAAGTTTAAAATACTTCTTCATCAGAGAAGTGCTTGAAAAATCGTGAGACACCATGTATGTAATTAAATATTTATATTGATAATTCGTTGAACTATTTATAAAAAAATTAATAGTAAAATTGTAACGTATTGTAGTCAAGTTTTAATGAAATGGATAAATTATAATTATTATATAGACTGGCGCTTTGGAGGGACAACATTTTCGACGAACGGGAGTTTTAGTTTCTTTAAGTGAGCAAAATTTAATTGATTGCTCTGGAAAATACGGTAATAATGGTTGCAACGGAGGACTGATGGATCAAGCTTTCCAATATATTAAGGAAAATGGAGGTTTAGATACAGAATTTAGTTATCCATATGAAGCTGAAAACGATAAATGCAGGTAAGAATTACAAGAAAAGATCTTTCTTAGATATTATGATTAATTATTTTATATGTATATAGGTATAACCCGGAAAATAATGGTGCCAGTGATATTGGCTTTGTGGACATTCCGGAAGAAGACGAGCACAAGCTTAAAGCAGCAGTTGCTACTATGGGACCAGTTTCTGTTGCTATTGATGCTTCTCATCAATCTTTCCAATTTTATTCTGAAGGTTTGTTTGCTCATTGTATAGTTTGACACTAAGTTATGAATTTCAAAATGTTCCAGCAATTTAACAAAGTGAATATGTATAAATTACAGGAATCTATTATGAACCAGAATGCTCTTCACGAAATTTGGACCATGGAGTATTAGTAGTAGGATATGGAACTGATGAAAATGGTCAGGACTATTGGCTAGTAAAGAATAGTTGGAGTGAATCATGGGGTAGCAATGGGTATATTAAAATGGCTAGAAATAAACAGAATCATTGTGGTATCGCTTCCAGTGCGAGCTATCCTCTTGTTGGATCCCAAGGATAATTTATTAAAATTTTTATAAATAACTTAAGAATGCAAATAAAAATTGAAAAGACAAAAAAAATTGATGATAATAAGTATTTAACTATATTTCAATTTCTGTACGTCATAAAAAATATATTTTTGTTTGTTGAATAAAGGCTTTTTATTAATATTATATTGTTTTAATACTAGCGTTTAATATCTATAGTATTATATATACTATTATAATAATAGTATATCCTTTTACAATAGTAATATATTTATTAGTTCTGTATTTATGAAGTTTGTCGGATGCCTAAACCAATGTGTTGAATTTTGAAATGCAAGATGGATGCTATTGAATAAGCATGTGCCGATAAACGTTCACAATGTGGAATGCTAAGGCATTGTTATGTTTATGCTGTAAAATATAGCATCATATAAAAATTGTAAAATTTTTATCAAATAATCAATTACGAATGAGTGAGTTAGGATTGTGAGAATTTTTTTTTGTGTTAGTACATATTGAAACGTATTTACAGTTATAAACATAACCTATTAAATTTTAAATTTAGTCGACATTTCATGTATATATTCGGCAATTTTAATAGATGAGTGTATTTAGAAGATTTATGGAAAATTGTATTCATTAAGTACAATATAACGATGATATATAATGATTATAACTGATGACGATATTTATAATTGTACTTACTAATAACTAATTGTATGTTTACTAAAAAGAATTATCTTTCAAAGCTATTTTACGTTTATAAAAATAAAATATATTAATGATTTTACATTGCATGAATTTATATACAAAATATTTTATTAAATAAGTTCTTTGTTAGTCATTACGTAACATTTCTTTATTTTGATCATTATAAATTTTTTTACAATATCATTATTCAACATTAATGTGAATATTTTTATTTTAATATGAGTACTTGTATATAATTGAAAAAATTGAGAAAAGATATATCACGTATAAAAATATATATGCATGTACAAAACAACATTATTTACTATATATAAAAATTTTATTCCACTAAATCTTTATATTTATTTTCTTTTTTTTTTGCAGCCACTTATGCACAATGGGCGAATTAAATGTGTGTTTTCAAATAGATACAGACAACCGTGAAAATTTTCCATCTGCAGCTGCTTTTCAGACATTCAAAAATCAAAGAGACACCTTTTATGAGATATTTAGAATATGGGAAAAAAACCATTCAGTGCCTGGATGGACATTTCAAATAGCTTTAGGAAGTAAAATAAGAACTATGTTAACATTACATAATGATGCTGTAAATTATTATCATTTTGCAAGATTGTTTAAGTCACAACTTTTGATTTCTTGTATACAAAATAGACAACAGGTAAGCTTAATAAATAAATTTATATGTTTGCAAATGTTTTGGTTTCCTTAGCCATTAATTTTTTAATCCGTCTTTGTTATTTTTAGACAGAAGTAGAAGATGACGAAAGTATAAGCGTTTTAAAGACATTGAAACATGTAAATCCAAAAAAGTTGAATCAACTTCAAAAGCGACTAGTAACTCCACAGCCTTCTAAAAATCAAATTACACAACCGTCTTTCCCTGGAGTGCAAGAATTTTTCAAGGATTTTATATTATTCGCTTTTAATCCAAGTTTTTACATTCATTTAGAAAATTGCTTAATCCATGAGATAATGGAATTGAATGATACTCAGTTTAATAATAGCGAAATAGAAGATTCAGGTATTCATGTGTATATGTGTAACATTAATGTAAGTTATATATTTCCATGCATTATTAACATAATAGTATTGTTTTTTTCTTGTAATAGAAACAACGGTCGATGAACAAACACAACAAAATTTTATTATTTGTTTATCTAGTTTAAGACTTCTTGCAAAAGTGTTAGGTCTCCTCATATCATTACCATATAGATCGGAATCTAATAATTTTAAAGATTTAATAGCAACTCAAGTGGAAATAAGAAGCAAAGTAAGTTTTTCTGCTTTACATATTTATGTAAATGAAATTAATGTTAATATTTTTTGTTTAGGTCGTACCAGCAATAAATTTACATCTTTGTCTTCATAATGCAATTGCATTAAGAAAATTATCATTAACTGTACCTTGGGTAGCAAAATATTTAGCTATGATGGATACAGTGTCTCTTCGTTTACCATATTATAAACAAACTTTGGAACTTTTATATTATATTTATAAAGTTGTAAATCATTTTGACTTTTCAACAACTGATAGTTTTATTTCTCAACAAACAGCGATTTTTCTTAAATCTATTTTAAGTTGGTTATTCGAATTGCCAAACATTCCAAAAGATTTCTATCTTGCTTGGCAAAAGATGTATAAAGTTAGAGAGCTGCGAAGTTTGGAGCATCTTGATAAAAATTATGTGCAAAAAAATATACTGTTAGGAGAACCCGCTGTGTCCGTTACATCAACTAAATGTAGTTTGGACAAGTTGGATATCATTAATGAAAGAACGTTGCGTATATGTTGCCCATTGATTGAATTAAACGTATCTGTATCGAATTGCAATACAAATCTAAATAATTACAACGCAAATAAACATATTACGCCAGTTTCTAGTCAACTTTATAAATCTGCTAAAAGTGCAGGTATAAAGCATTTGGAGGTAAGCTGACCGACTTAACTTGTTTAACAAGAAACATTATAATAATTAAATTTCAACAGTTGCAATTGGAAGAGGCATTTTTTGGTGGACAACCTGCATCTACTCGAAAAACTGTTGACTTCGTATCAGAACGAGTTGCTTCAACGTGTGTAAAACACATATGTAATACTTTGTTAATGTCCTCTAGAGAAACGAATCTCAATAATTTCAGAGAGATTTTAAAGAAAAAACAAGTTGGAAAACAATCCGAAAAATTTGGGGAACCACGTAATATTACAGATTTTAAGGTAGATTTTTGGAATTTTTTACATTTATCGAAATAGTACTACGATGATTAAAATATCCCAAAGTTGTGCAGCTAATTCATATGTCATTTCAGGCAATTGTGATAACTGATATAAACACATTAGCTATGAATATGTCTAAAGAATTGAAAGATCAATGTGAAGCATCTATACCGGGAATTTGTGAATTACGGGTAACGAAATGCATAGATGCTCTTTTGGCGGAAGATTCGCTGACACCCGTAAAAGAAATGTGTGCTAAAATTGCTACAAGATTAGCTATGGAACGTATACATCAATGGATACAATCTCACATAGTTGGTGGGTCGTTATTTATAAAAGACATGGAAGTTGAATTAAATAGATTTTTGAGGAACAATACATCACTGCATCCTAAGGAAGAAAAGGAACATAATCCAAATGCTATGAGTCCAACAACTGTCACTGACAACTTGAGGGTAATTACTTGCATATTTTTTCCAATAGAATAACATTAAAACTTATCAGTTTTTCTATTATAACTGTTATAGGAACTTATATGGATTATACTTGATAATGGCGGTGATTTCTTAACAGTAACAATTGTGTCGACTATGTTAGATAATTTATATCAGACTTTAAACGAAAGAGCTGATTTAGTTGTGGGACTGGAAAAAGTTTTATATTCTCTTAGTACAGATTTTGCATTATTTTTAGGTAAGAAAATATGTTAGTATAAGTATAATTTACTATTATTTACTATTATACCACGAACAAAATCATAAATTTTTATATTTACAGTTGCTTATCGAAGCGATCTGTTTATTTCAAAAGTTCAAGACAAGTTTATAACAATATGGGCGATGAATCGTTGTAAAACGTTGGAATCAGACTCGCCTATACATAGAATATTTAGTTCTAGAAATGTTATGCTCTTAGCGCAACCGGAAAAGGAAGAAATTTGGATAGTGTTCGGAAAATTTATTAACAGATTAATAGAAAAAAATGTTTTAGACATTGATAGTTTTAGCGATCAATGCGTGGCTTTATTTAGGCAGAACTGGCCTGTAGTAAATATTTCATTTTCATAATACTCGATTTTAATAAATATCACAGT